ATATATATATATATATATATATATATATATATATATATATATATACATATATACATAAAATAATATTATTAATAAGATTTTACATAATTTTTGTAATTTTGCAAAATTTGAATATCTATTGTGATTGTGTTTATCTAGTCTTGAACAATTAATAGTTTTTATAAAAATTGTATTTGAATTTGCGGAAAACAAGAATGAAGAAGCAAAACAGAAGGCGAGGAAATGACATACAAATGTATGATTATTTGTTGAGTAAATATAAAATAAGGGAGCTAATCGAAATAGAAAGATAAGAGGACTATTCAGTTTGAGTTCTATTCTCGTTTGAATTCGATAATGAGATAATTATCAATCGGTATAAATTGAATGAAAGATTTAAGTTTTGGCAGCAGAAAGATAGAAGCGTATGGACAAAAAAAAATCGTTTATTAGAATGATCGGATAAGGATTTCCTAACGGTTAAGATTTTTGGGGAGGCAAGCATTGACATTGTAACAGGCCAATTAAATGGAAGAAAAGAAAATAAAAGTACAAAAATTAAAATACAAAGACTAAAAGGACGTAAAAGAAAATAAAAAAAAAAAAGAAATGACCGAAGTAAATAAGATTGTTGACGAGCCGGGGAAGTATCGGCAACTTCTCGTGGCTTTGATCGGTGAGTATTATCGAATATATCAAATACTCTCAAATTGAAAGAACAAGGAAGTATCTAAATTCGTCATAATAATTGTAATAATAAGAAAGTTTAATTTTTTTTAGCAAATATCGCGGCTCTATCACTTGGAACAATGATAGGTTGGCAGTCACCTATAATACCGCAATTACAAAGTGAAAATCCTCCAGTAGGTGACAGGCCTATGACGGACGAGGAAGCATCCTGGGTAATTGGAATCACATGCGTAACAGCCGCTTTCACGAGTTTGACAGTCGGTATTATAGCGAATAGATTCGGGCGTAAGCTGGCTGGTTGTTTCATGGGTTTGCCACTTTGCGCCTGTTGGCTATTCACTATTTTTGCAACAGAACACATACATTTATATATCGCACGATTCTTTTCGGGAATTTCTGGCGGAATGGTATTGTTCTTGGTGCCAATGTATGTGTCTGAAATTGCATCCGATGGGATACGCGGCATGTTAGGTAGTTTATTAGTATTCATATTGAACGGAGGTATTCTTTTGGGATATATAATCGGTGCTATACTTTCGTATCGTTGGTTTGCAATTGCTATGCTTATATTTCCGTTATTTTATATCGCATCATTCGTTTTTGTACCGGAAACACCTGTATATCTAATACGACGCAATCGAATCGACGAAGCTACTAGGTAAGCACGAATAAACATTTCGATCAAATTGACACGCAATGTTTCGTCTCAATACAATGTCTTTTTCGTTTTTATCATATCCCTTACAGATCTCTGATGTGGTTCAGAGGTGGGCACGTACCAACTGTAGAGCGAGAAATATTGCGTCTGCAACAAGAAACAAACGTTTCCGAGCAAACAATTAAACTATCAGATCTGTTTCGAGATCGAGCAACGATTAAGGGACTTTTTATTACTCTAGGATTGTTTGCTGGACAACAAATGGCCGGGATATTTATTATGGTAAAGAAAATATTTATTTTATGTTGTTTAACTTTTTGTATTGACATACTTCTTTCTTCCACAGATAAGTTACACAGAAACCATATTTAAGATGTCAGGAAGCTCATTATCACCAAACGATTCGGCGATCATTGTGGGCGCCATTCAAGTATTCGGCTCGTATTTATCCACGATTTTGGTGGAAAGAGTTGGTAGAAGATTATTGCTTTTAACGTCTTGTTTAGGGATGGGTATATGTCATTATACCATTGGAGTGTTTTGTTACTTGCAAACACTTCAATACGATGTCAATCAATTTAGTTGGATTTCGATCTTAGCCTTGTCCGTTTTTATGATTAGCTATGGTTTAGGCATGGGACCAGGCCCGTACGTAGTTTCTTCGGAAATACTTAATCGAGATATTTCAAATTTGGTGATAACGATGGGAATGTTCACCGCTTGGGGGATGGCATTCGTGGTCGTTAAATTATTCCCGACTACAGTCGATTTGTTAGGTATAAACGGTTGTTTTTTTCTTCTCGGTAGCTTTTGTCTGATCATTTTTGCATTCGTTTTTATGATTATCCCAGAAACAAAGGGTCAGCCACGTCAACTCATCTTGGATCGACTTAATGGAATATCTCACGTGTTAGACAAGACAAAATACATTTCTTCAAACGATGTTAAAATTATACCAAAACCCGAACTAATTTGAAAGCATTGTAAATAAAAAATAATCTCTTATCTAGTATTCTTTTGTTTCGATATTCAGAACTCCTAAATCAGGAGAGATTTAGATGTTGTTAAAATGGTTGCATAGCACTAGGCATATATAACAGAAAAGGAAAATGAAGGAATCTGTAAGAGAGATAAATTGAGATAATTGTCATTTTTATAATTAATTCGTGTAAATAGTCAATGGAAAAAAAACTTTGTACATATTATTGTACATATTATTATTTTATATATATCTTGTTTTAAAATAAGTCGAAGATACAACACTCTTGTATAGATTTTGTTTGTACTTTATATAATAATCATAAATTATATATAACAATCATAATTAAGTTATAAAACGATATAATCATTAAATCCTTGATTGGTTCTAAATTTTCAAAAAAAAAAAAAATGCATCGTGATGTTCGATAAAAAATTATAATAACCATTACTATTTATCAATCATCGGTTAACCTCTGTCGTACGCTCTTATTATTAATTTTTCGTTTTTTAAATGTAGCCGGTTTTCCATCCTCATCGCTGTCAGCCGTATCAATTTGCGTTATAGTTTTTTCCTTGAACGTTCTTTGTATGGAAGGTGGTTCTGTTTTTTCAAAGACAGGTAGTTGCAATTGTTTTTGCTTTGGTAATTGAAAATCGATTGGTTTCACTTCGCTGAAAATGGAAAAACAATCATCGAGCGTAATTTGATTTGCTAATTTATTTAGCAGAATCTTGATTTATTAAAATATTTTCTCCTATAAATTTAATTTTTAATTTCAAATATTACGTTTTTTGAACGGTCTGCCACGGTCCATACGGATGTGATTTTATCGGAATGCTATAGTCCCGTCTGTACGGTCGGCTTTCCTCTTTGGTTTCGATTTCCGTTTTCTCCTCTACATTTTGCTCCATCCTTGATTGCGCGCTACGTATCTTCCTCAATTCCTTCATCCTTTCTCTTTCGGCATTCGCCCGTTTTTCTTCGAGAATATCCGCGTTTGTAATCGCTTGTTCCTCGTCCAATTGCTTCAATAATTCTTCTTGAAGCGCTTGCTCTTTCGCCTCTTCTTGCTGTTCCGCAAATGTCATGTATCCCTCCTCTGGCGGATCCCAAACGGATTCTGCCACGCAAAAAATACATACGACGTAGAGATAGTTGGCATAAATTAATACGAGAGATAAAAGGTAGATTATTACCGCAAGAAAAACTCTGAATACACACACACTCACCGTTAGTTTCTATATTCCAATAATACGTGTACCCTTCGGGGCTGAGAGCTTCGTACCAAAGTTTTTGAACAGGTTTCGTAGGGCGTTCCTCTTCCAGAATTTTCTTTCCCTTCCCTTTACCCTTACCTGCTTTGCTTTTCCCTTGATTTTTGTGATCGCCCCTTTGTTGAGATTTCACGTGATGCGACGTTGTATTTCTCGCCAGAGTTGGATCGCACGGATCGATCTCTTGAGGAAACTGAAACTGTTAAAATATCTTTCGTTATAAATGTTTTCTTGGCACGGCTCGATTGGGCTAAACGAATTATCCATCCGTTTCGGTATAACGCGATCGATTATCCGTGAAGTCCCACCTGTTGATTTTCACTTTTGAACCTAGGTTGTGCTTCTGGGGTAGCCGGAGGTACGCGATTGAAGTTCGGCACCTGTAACGTATTTCCTTTTCTATTTTTTTTTTTTTTTCAAAGTTTCTATCGATATTATCAAATATTAAATAGAAAATTTTCGAGTACCTACGTCTTTCGTTTCTATTCGATTCATTTTTTCTTTAATGATCGTATCGGCAGTCATGTCTCTTGTGTTGTTTTCTACGTCCTTCAAATACGCAGCCATGGCTGCCTAAATGCAAAAATACATAATACGTATAAAAGAAAAAAAAAAGAGAAAAATCAAAATTTTAGGTATCCGTTGATGATATTATATCCGTGCGTTTTATCTTTATCCAAGCAAATCTGAAAAATGAAAATTAAATGAAAATACGGTGAACGTACGTTTTCCATCTTCTTAATGTCGTCTTCGATCTTTTTGTTCTGTTTCGCCTGCTTCGCGCTGTTTTTATGTATTTCTTTAAGTCGTTTGCTAACATTTTCCTTGTGCTTCTTGCCGCCTTCGTGAAAATCGATACTAGGTTTATTATCAGCGATCCAACATTTGCAAAAATCACAAAATTTACGACCCTGAGACTTCCAATAGTCCGCCCTGGAACAATATATATATTCGATACTATTTTCTATATTGTTCGTTTATTCATTCTTTTCTTGTATACTTCCAGCTATACTTCTTCATTTCTATCTTAATTGGGCAGAATGTTTAAGAAAAAAAAAAAAAAAAAGGATAATTTTTCAATCTTAAGAAATATCGGATTTAAAAAATTTACATATTTCTCTCGTTTGCAATAAAATTTTTCGCGTTTCAAGCAAGGAACCATGCTCCCTTGTAAACGTTTGACGTTTACCATTAACGAATCAATCGAATGTTTTCGAGTCATGCATCGAAGGAAATCGCAATTCCTTCAACAATGCCACGTTATGTCAATAATAGAGCATGTATTAATAGCGGCAACGTCGTAAAAATAGCTAAAGAGAAGATTAGGTTGGCCAACTCAGTTAATCGTCTGATGAGCCAATTGGTACCTTCGTATCTTCTTTGTATTTAAATATCCTCTCCTTCATATTTTTCTCCACGAGTTCTTAATAGACGAGCTCTTTGATCACGAGATGTGGTCTTCGTCTATCGATAATCCCTCCGCTCTTTCTTCCCCGATCATGATTTTCCGATCGGATGATTCGCGCTCGTTGAATGAACGCTCGTTTGTTGACGCAGAGCGAGGTCGAGGGCGAGGGCAAAATCCCTCCAGACCTCGAGGAGATCCATTGGCACGCGAATAGAACGAACAGACACGATTCTCGTAATCGGCCAACACCACGGTATATTTTCGTGCTTACTTTTTGGCACGAGTGTTTTTGATCGAGATTACATCCGTTTACATCCAAACCGGGTGGAATATTTTCGGGCGCGAACCGCCAATCATCGTCCTCCGAAGGAAAAAACGAAAATTCGATTCTCTCCAATAGGACAAAAGAAACATCACGGGTGTGAGGGCGACACAGTTGCTCGAAGTTGTGGAAGCAGTCACGTGGAAGCATGGGGGGAGGGGGGATAGAGAAAGAGAGAGAAATCGAGCCGTCGGAAATCAGAAATATCTTTGATAAATTTCAAAGGTAAGTGAGTAGTAGCCAGCCAAAAAACAATTGGCACCTAGAAAATGTAATTTTCACGATGGCAACGACGACGACTACGACGACGACATCGACGATGCACTAACGGTCACGCCCTTAATTTTACGCAACGATTTATTTTTAGGCGAAAGAGAGATGGAACCATCGGCTCGTATCTGTCGTATCTATCATAAATATCGCTACGTGTTCGCATGTCTAAAAATTTGTGCTCATTTAAGATATTCGTTAAGCTTATTACTTACAGTAATAACGATGAATTGCTAACGTTTCTCGAAGTAGGTTAACCTCTCTGAAAATTATTCAATAATTTGGTGAACGATTTGAAAATATATATATATATATATATTATACGACGACGTTTCGAACGTTGGGGTTTAGTTAGATCGTTTTATAGCTCTCTTACGACCGAGCGGAAAAAAGGTTCATGGTTTGTTCTAATTTTATCTTGGAGGGTTGTATACTTGTGTTCCTACGTGTTCGAAAGGCGCGTCTTGTAAACCGCATCCAACATCGATACCGTGACTTTGCGGCTTGCTCTTTTTTTTTCTTGTCACTATATTTCCAATGAATAAATACGAATAAAGCGGGTTTATCGTGGCCGAGACATCTTTTTGCTTACATATATATATATATATATCAACGAAGATCCGCAACGATCTATACATGGTATAACTAGCGCTCGTTCCAACCAAGTCGGATACACGTGCGGTGAGGTGATCGCACATGTCATTTTCATTAACGATCGAACATCGCGATATGAAAATTCCGATAAACGAGTAACTGTTTCCAATGTAACCCAACTGTTTCCAAATATCCGTGTTAGGGAAATCCGTGTTATTTCGCAGTATTCCATATGGTATTCGTATTCTCGAGCAGCCCTATATGTGAAACATTCTATTATGTCTTCTTACTTTTTTATTCTCTCTCTCTTTCTCTCGTTCTTCTATAGAGCTTCCATATTCCATATAGAGCGGGTTTTTCGATTTAATGCTCTTATCCCGCCTTAATCTTTGAGAGAGAGAAGGAAAAAAAAATTATGATTCAAACTCGGCGAGAACGATCGATATTAATTATTGCAAGAAAAAGAAAAAAAAATCTTTTTCATACAAATCGTCAGGATGGTATTATATATTTTTCGTACGTTTCGTATTTTCACGACCAATATTTTATTCTTGCATTTTTCATCCTCGAATCCGCGGATGAGAATAAAGGAGAATCGAAAGAAAGACGATCGATCCATACGGTTCGAGATAACATAATCATGAAACAACGATCGATGCTATTTTCTCTGGAGCTGGCTTTCGTTATTTCTGGAAAACATTTCGGCATCTGGTTCGTTAAACGCGAGTTTGAACCGCGTTGAAGCCGAAATTACCGGTCGTAAGAATTCGTACGAATCCATCTGATTAAATTTTTTTTTTCTTTCTTTCTTTTACAATGGTTATTAACGAACGGATTATTAATAGAACGAAAACGCAGCAGTTTTTTAAATCGATGCAACGCTACACATGATCGCGTTGAATTGGATTCCTGTATAAGGGGGAAAGTTGATAAACATCTATCAGGTACATACTAATAATAAATTTCTGAAGGGCCGCAATGGACGAGTTTCCATTCAACGGGAGGTCAAAAATAATCTCGAGTAACTTCGTGTCTGACGATCGAATTGTGTAATCGACACGTGTTGAAAGCAAATCATTCTAGGAGACTACTAGAAAAAGTGCGCAAGAATAAAATCGAGTGTAATAAAAGTAATCACGGATAAGAACAAAAAAAAAGG